AATTCTGCGCCTTGAAAAACGACGATTTAACTTTTGCAACACCATATTTTGATTTCACGTTCTCGCCCCACCCCCTGACCAATGAAGAGACGCTGCCCGCTGAGGAGGACAAATTATGGCCTCCGACATAAGAGCCTTTACCTCACACTCCTCAATTTCTGCGTAAGTCCCACCCTCTCAGAGGCGTGGTCTGCCTGGTGATTGGCTGGCTGACCCTCAGGGGCTGTCCTTCAAAGTGACTGTTTCAAAGCGAGCGAGTTGGGTGAGCAAATCACGTGCTCACTTTTTGCGAGGAGTCTTTTTCCTCGGGAGGTTTCCGAGGAAAGCGGATGGGTTGGGCTAGTTTGATTGGTTGTGAAGAAACGTGAAGAATTTTGTCGCCTCCCTGAACCCCTTTTGGGAAAAAGCAGTTAATTATAAGAATGCAGAGGAGGCAAGGTGTCTCCACGCGGTGAGTATTGTGAAAATAAACATTGCTGGGCGCATGCGCGGAAGGAGAGAACGCGAGAACAAGTTAAAAAAAACCCGAACGCGATCAGCCGTCTCTTGAAGCCTTGCTTCCGCCTCGTTTTCCTAGGACCTCGTGGCGCAACGGTAGCGCGTCTGACTCCAGATCAGAAGGCTGCGTGTTCGAATCACGTCGGGGTCATGAAATCCAGGCTGTGGATTTATTTTACCCCTCAAATGAAACATAAACTCTCGTGTTGTAGGTGTAAATACCTTACGGTTTACTGAGCTGCGCGTTATTTCACTTTAAACCGGTGATGATAACACGACGGGACAAGGAGGTGTCCGAGCTTACACAAGTTGTGGGGACAGGCAACAGCAAGTTGAGTCAATGAGACGTAATAAAAGCCATGGTCCATTATGGGGGCTTATTCCTGTCATTTTGCCATATGACCTAAAAATAGAAGTAAAACCAAGACATCCTAAAATGAAAAATAAACGAGGTAAGAGATCAAGGCGGGGGAGATCCAGCTTGACACCGTCCAGAGTTGACTTAAAGGGTGGATGACTAAAAATGTGGAGGGAGAGGGCCATGTAATAGAGCATCTTAAAAAAAAAGAGTTTGGGAAGATGATTTCACAGGACAGCCACAGGTGACTTCAAAGTTGCCCTTTAAAAACACTGACTAATGTCATTTAAGTGAGAGAAGTATAGAACATGATGCCTGAGAATTACAATGTTACAAACATAATTACATTTTATCAATATGTAATAGTCTCTTAGAGCAATTCAGGGCAGGAAATGTTGCTTCCCCCCAGCCCACTTTCCTCCTGGTGGATCTTTGTTTCCTCTTATTTTCCCTCCCACTGGAAATTAGGCTGGCTTAGCTCTTTAGTGACATCCAAGGGCATGTCAGGTGAGTGAGTGGGATTTGGACCAAACTCTTTTGGGGGGTCTTTCTGCCAATGGGAATATTATTAGTGGTAGATATATACCCATGGAGCTTTTGAGGGATGTATATGGGGCTGCCCGGATGGATGTGCTGCCTGCTTGGTGGAATTCCTCTCTGACTCTGAAGAGGCACTTCTGCCCCATCTACTGGCCTTGGGTAATGGTAAAATTGCTTTGTCCAGCACAACAAAAGCCTGCTAATTAACACTTCTCTTTCCGTTTCTTCTCTAGATCATATATTTTATTTACCTCTATGGTCCATTCACTTGTACCTGGATAACCTGACCTTATTTATTTATTTATTTATTAAAACATTTCTATGCCGCCCCTTGCCGAAGCCTCGGGGCAGCTTACAACACAATAAAATACAATAAAATACAAAAATAACAATATAAAATTAAAATTAACAATATAAAATAAATAAAAAATATAAAAGCACCTTAGTGCTTTTGTGATGGAGGTTTGGGTGAAATTTTCAATTGAAATATATATTTTATGTATATTTGGCTAATTTGCACAAGGCAATTTTCAGTTGTTGCATTAGAGGTTGATGTAATTTAACATAAAATCAGAGTTTAGGGACCATTCAGCTGTAAGGTCCAACGCCCTGTTCAGTGCAGGAATCCAGTGTTTGAGTATACTTGTATTTAGAGAATACCAAAGCTTTAAAAGGTACCCCATGTTAATTTTCATATATTCTGCAAAAACATTATTAGAATATTTGAAAGAAAAAGACAATAGCATGTTTCCCCTGCTTAAGCTGCTTAAGACCCCCTCCCCTGTACAAGAAGACTGAAAACTGATGACACACCAATAATTTTTAACAATTCAGTTGGCTGTGCATGACCTGCTAACTGCTATTTCAGCTGAGTTCAGGAACCTGAAACTGAGGTGGTTTGGGGAATTTCAGTTTCACTGTCACTCTTTATTAGCTCGATTTCACATTGAGGTCTACATGTGTATGTGTACTGCCATAGTTGCTAGGAGTATTTACTTGAAAAACTGAAAATACAATTTTGAATGTGCCAGGTTTGGCTAATGTTGTGATTGCAATTGGCTTCCATTCTTTATTACTAGTAAAACTCATATAAATGTAAGTCTAAACCTAGCAGCTTATGAGGTACTAAATATAATATTTTCAGATATATTTGTGCTCTTACTTAACAACATTGTTGAAATATTAGATCGGTTTTTGTTAACTTATTTGTAAGACACATAATAAGTTTTAACTTCAGGACAGCTTTAAAACATGATGCTAATCTGCATTTATGCAAACACATAACTTTTTAAAATCCTGTTCTGAGTTCTCATATCCCATTTAGAAATGACCTTAAAATGGGCATCTTCCAAAGAAGTAGTAACACAATAATACTTATTTGTATCATCTTTTTTGCCATCACCTCTCCAAGGTAGGAAATCCTCTATCATTTTTCACAAAAATCTCTTTCCAAAGATGTGTGTGTATGCGTTATTCTTGAAAGATCACATAATTTTGTAGACAAGAAACTATGCATAGAAATAAAATGCATATCTAATGAGGGTAGATATGATACTTAATGATACTTTCTGGGTGGCACCTCAGTGAATGTAAGCCCCCAGATTTAGAGGTTTATGGTCATCCTGTGCAAAGTGGAAAGAACAGTGGGGGTTGTCTTTCCCTTGCCATCCTTGTGCTCTCCAATTTTTGCTAGTGAGGCTTTTTTGCTGATCTAGCTGGGGTTTTTCGGAAGGGGAGGGAAGGAGGCTGCAGAGGTTTCAAGTTAACTTTGCATCTTGGCCTCTCCAGTCTCCTCCTCTTTGCACCCAATGGGGGAAAAAATCCCTTTCTCCCCTTCCTAACTTTTGAAGGCATGCGGTATGGTTCTTACCAATTGGCTGCAAGGAGATGGAATGGGATCTGATTTCCTATCCTGAAACTGGAGCTCCATGTCCAATCTCAGCTAGAGAATCCAAACAATCCTATGGCACTCAGATACTCTCTAGGAACCGTACGATTGCCCCCTCCATTGCCAGAATCCTACGTTGTATGATTTAAAAGAAACAGAATCTAATCTGAAAACATATTGTGTAGTGGTTTTCTTTGTATCATACCTGATTTTGACATTAAGGGAGCAATCCAGTGCCCCTAGCCCTCAATGCATACAAGTCTCCAATAAAGGGAGTATGACATGGTGGTGGTGCCCTTTGTTGACACTGTGCCTTGTGCTCTGCATTTCATCTAGGCAGCCATCTTCAGCTGACTAGAGGAAGTGGCATGGAGAGCAAGGGAAAGAGGTTGGGGTGTTTCCCCTCCCCCTTTCTCCCATCTGAAACTGATTGCAGCCTTAGAGAGACAACCAATGCAATTCCCTCTGTACCAGCACAGCAAGATTTCAGTCTTCGGAATCCCAAAACCAAGATTGCAGGTCCTTTGGAGTCCCAGACAATGTTGGAAGGCCATAGCATTGCACTCTAAATCTTTTCCTTTATAATTATTCTTTTTTCCCTGTTTTTGAATCCTCTACTTAAATTCCTCATGTAAGAGGCCCAAAGCTTATATCTGAGCTTACATACTACTTTTATATAACCCATGTTATTAATAACTGCTGGAATGAATATTTGGTCCATTTTTCCTGCCACATCTGTTGTCATCCAATCACAGTTCTGTTATCTAATCTTTAATAGATACTCCTTAGAGTTTCATCTAAGATAGTCACTTCAAAATAAGGTAGAAAATAAGGAAATATATTATAGTTCCAAAATGGGTAGACAGTACTATGGAGTGAAATGGCCATATTGTATGAAGAGTTTCACTAGTTGTTTCTGGGCAAAGGAAGAGTATTAGACACAGGGCTATCAATTTTGCAACGATTGCTGTAATGTCTGCTCAGGCCCCAAATATATCCTTTCACACTGGTATTTTACTAAATAATCACACTTCCAGGCCAGCTCTTTATATAGCCTGATTTAAATTCCTTTCACAGGCAAGAAAAACACTCATATACAATTTTAGCAGAATGGTTTTTACGACTCTTAGTTATCAATCATATAATTTATACTTAATTTGGTGTCTTTCTTTTTATGAATGCTCTTATACGCTAAGCATGGTAACACAGTGATCCTATTGATTTGATGCTACTGTTAAGTCATTTAGAAATCATTCCAAGACTGGCAGAGATCCAGGTGTAGCAGTTGAGTTAATTCATGTTTACTTCTCAGATACAGAAGTGACTAAATGAAAAAAAAAAATGCTTTGAGACAAAGGGTGCTTCAGACGGAGGAACCTAATGCTAATAATCTGAAGGTACTGTGCAGCTATTCCATGGCCTTTTCTTACTGGATTTTTTGCTGTAAGGAAGAAAGATTGAAGAAATGGAAAAGCATGGGAGGGGTGAGACTGAAAGAGAATGCCATCTGTCCCCACCCTCCTAAAATTCTCTGAATGAGGTAGGGCAATTACATGATAAAAGCCTTGTCTGGAGGCACCCCAAGAGACAAGCCTTAACTAACCTTGTCCCTTTTTTCACAGGCTATGCTATTAGATGATGGAGAAGGTTACTGTAGATGTGCTAATAGAAAACAAGGAAAAGGATCCAACAAAACAAGACTCCAGTGATGAAATTGATGTGAAAGCTCTGGATGACACTGAACTAAGGGAACAGCTTTGTCTGTATGGAATTAGCCCTGGACCAATATTACGTATGCATCAACTGAAAGATAGATAGAACTTGGGGATATAAAGAACAGCAGAGCTCTGTGCTGTACCCTAAAGGTTCAAATTACATATTGCCAATAGGAGACATGTGATTCTAGCTTGAAGGGATTGCTCCTCATAACAAATCCAACAATTCTGATCAGGGGCAGTAGGTGCAAATGGTTTAAGATGCCTCTCCTTTCCTCTGGGCAAAATGTTCTGCATCTGCTCTGGCACAGGTGCTTTTGTTTATTCAGATGTATAACCTATCTCATCCTGTGGACTTGGAATGTTGTAGATTTCCCAAAACTCATCAAGTCTGGATATACTGTGCACTAAAAGAACAAATCTTACACTGAGATAACCCAAAGGCTGACTTCTGCACATTTTTGAGTATGCAAAAATCATATCTACTTGTTTTGTCTATTTACCAGCTTCATCTAAACCTGGGAAGGGGCAAGCAATTATTTAGAGCGCTGAAGCCTCTCTCCCTTGCTACTTAAAAATGTATTTGGCCTCTGCCAAATATTTTGCTAGTGACTCATTTCAAGACATTTCCCCATCTTAGTTCTCATGTTTGCCGAAGCTTTAAAACTTCAGATACTTCCCCTGCACTTCGGTCTTCCATGAAGATAATTAAAACAACAATCAGAGACTGAAGAACTAATAAAGCCTAAACAATTCTCCAGAGGACCACAGTACTGAGGCTATAAGTGTTCTCTAGCTGACAAGGTATGGAGCTAACCTGAGCTCAAAAGACATCAGCAATTAGCATAGCTTTACTCCCTCTTTTCAGCTTGACCATTTATGTCTGACACTACTGACTTCAGTCCAGTCCTCCTCTCTTGTACAATATTTTATGTTTAGAAACCCCAAAAGGCTGCTCTTACATCTCAGCCAGACTTCCCTTCAAAGAATTACTGGTACCATTTGGTGTTGTACGAGCTGCCTGATGCTGCAGGACGGAGCTCATCTCAACAAGTCTCAATGGTGATGGCTTTTCTGGGGCTCTGATCAAAACACTAGATTCATCCTGCAGGGACTTGACTGAGAAGAGATTCCTCTATCTACATATAGGGACCATTAGAGTGACATTTTCAAACACTGCATTTTTTTTAAATGGAGCAATGGCAGTTGCCATTCTAACTATACTTATGCTTATTACTGCTCAGGGAGCCTTCTGGCTAATGACATGGGATAAAAATCCAGTAAATAAAATTATGCACTAAGCCCCAAATGAACTCAAAGGAACTTACTCAGTATGCCACTAGTAGTTGGTTATGTCAGACCCTGCTTCAGTAAACTAGTTGACGCTTAGGCAGAGAAAGCATCTCTCTACAATAGTAGAACAGTTTTGCCTGTTGAAATTCTGTCTCAGTATGTAGCTGGTATCCAGGCATGATGCAGAAGCCATGATTAAAAAAAGGAGAAAATTCTATTTTCACATCAGTTCAGGTTATGCATTTATTTTTGTTCATGGAACTTCAACATTTAGCTTCTACAAAAACAGTCCTCTCTATGTATGACTAGCGGAATGCAGCTGTTCTATTTTGCAAAAAAGCAAAAAATAGAAGGGGAGGCATGTCCAGAGTCCTTGTCTGATTTAAGCAAGTAGGTGTTAACACATGAAATGTAGGCTGGATCAGGTGCATTCACAGCTAATTGGAAAACTGCATTCCATGATGGAATCTGAGTTTGAAGGCATTTTAGAGGTCACTTAGCCTAATCTTCCACTGATGCAAGACATCATCTATTACTGCACCACCTACAAGACTGTTTCCCTTTCAAATAGCTTGAAGCCCTCAGACTCCCTAATATTTAGCAGAAAACCCTTTTCTTGTAATTCTGATCAAAAAATAGATTGCTCCATCATATGTGACAGCCCTTCAAATATTTGTAGACGGGTACCAAGTTGATTCTTAATTGCTTCTCTATACTAAGCGTATGTAACTCCTTCAAGCTTTCTTCCTACGTGTTGGTCTCCAAGACCTTCACCATCTTCATCACCATCATGGATCACCTTCACTAGCAATCTTCATCAACTTCCTCTGGACATATTCCAGATGGCCAATCACTTCTTCAGAACTGGACAAAGCATGCCAGGTGAGGTCTGACCAAAACAGAATAAAACACTACAATTGCCGGTTGTGATATGGATATTACCATTTCATAGGTGTGCAACCAAGAATTTATTAGTGTTTTTCTTTAACCTGCTACATCACACTGCTGATTTGCTTAGCCTGTTGCAATAGTTTTGTCCTCTACTCAGTATTCTTTAACTTTTTTTATGAATTAATTTAATGATGGAGGGAATTGTTATTAATTTAGTAGACAGAATAAAACTGGGCTTAATCTAACTAAATAGCACAGTTGTGAAGTCCTGTGTTGAGGTATGAAAACAAGTATAAATGTATAGCATGGAGGATACGTGGCTTAGCAGTAGTACATGCCGAAAGTATCTTGGGATTATAGTCAAACATAGAGGAGTCAAGAATGTGGTGCTGCAGCAAAAAAGGCTGATGTTATTTTAGGTTGTATTAATAGTATATTTCCCAAAACATGAGTAGCTTTAGTCAGATCTTATCTAGAGTATTATGTCCCTTTCTGAATGCTGCAGTTTAAGAAGGATATAGATAAATCGGAATGGGTTCCTATCAGGGCAATGGCTTGGCCAGGAGGATGGAGAACCAGCCCTGTAAGGAAATGCTGAAGGAACTGGGTATGGAGAAAAGAACCCAGAAGGGTGTGGCTAGGTGGGACAACACGGACACATGATTATAATTTTCAAATATTTGAAGAGCTGTCACACCAAAAGGACAAATGCTTATTCTCTGCTGTGCTAAAAGGCAGGACTACATCTAACCATCTTAATGTATTTTGGTGGAATATACCAAAAGTGGTATATCCTTAAGTGATGAAAGTGGTTCAACATTGGAAATAATTAGCTGAGCAGGGGTATCTTGCTTACTGGGGGTCTTCACAAAGTAAAGGCTGGATCATCTGTTGGGGATATTGTACCTCTGGATTTCTTGCACTGAGCAGGGAGCTAAGCTAACAGCCTGCAAACCCCTTCCGACATCAACTGTTTTGAGCATGTGAAAATTATCACTCAGATTTAGAACACACAGAAGTGCAGTGTGCCAGTACTATAATCTTTTGCACTCTGACCTCTTTGGTTTAGCTTCTACAAGGACTACTTATGAGAAAAAATTGTTGCAACTGATGAAGCAATGCCCAACAATAGCAGCTGGGAGTAAGAGACTTGCTGAGTCTGACCTGGAAAAGGATGAAAAAAAAGGTACTGCATGGTTATCATTCAAATAAAATTCTGCTTTTGAGAGTGTTTCTGAATGTGTAGTACAGTGCAAGTGATTGTGCTGCTAGTGGGTAGAAATGCATAGTTCAGTAAGTCCTTGCAGTAACAACAATGGATGAAAATGGATTTTCTAGAGTAGTCTCCATGGCTTGCAGAGTAGTTCCTTCTGGATTATGCTAGAATATGGAATTTGCAAGCTAAAGCCATTTTCTTCCTTTCTCCATATGCAGCTGTTTACCTTCTCTAGCTGTCATCCAAAGGTGTCCTTTAGTATTCTGGTTGACCTCAGAGTTGGAGGTATTATACAGAAATTTCCCAAAGGAGCACTTTCTGCATGCAGAAAATACATTGCAGTGCTGTGCTACCTTTAGATTTAAAAAATTCCTACAAGTCCCAACATTCCCTAGCCAACCTTACTGAATGGGGAATTCTGAAAGGTGTAGGACTTTTTTCTGGCAAAACATGCATAGGATTGTGCCTTAATTAATTTCAGAGGTATATTCTATGACCAAACTGTAGCTCTTTAGGTACTTATAGGTTGCTTTGGTTTTTATGTTTGCAGTACTTTACATAGATCACTGTCCTCCTCGGGCTTGACTTTTTTAAAAGCTAAATATATGCCCAGACAGTTGTTTCATTATTAAAATGTTGGACTAGTACTGAAGAGTTCCATGTTCATATTTACCATCCATCTGTGAAGCTCAGTGGGTGTCCCTGCCAATCATTATCATTCAGCCTACCCTACTGTATATGACTGCTTTAAGGAAAGAACAGGAAGTGAAGGAACACTCATGTAATAAACTGTAATAATACAAAGAACTTGGGTCTAGTACATTGAGAAGGAAAGGGAGGAGAACTTCTAGATGTGTCTGGAGCAACCGCTTCTGTGTAAGATCAGAAATAATGCCGTTTTGTTCTCCCATACAAAAACAGTCAGCAAAACAAGTTAGTGCAGGGCCATAGTCATATTTTGAGAAACTGCTGTTGGTACCACCACAAAATCCCTAATCAGGGAATTGCTGCTTTGGCATCTATTTGTCATGTCTGTGAATCTTAGTGTGTGTTTTAATCGGCAAAGACATTTGTGTCTATTGGGTAACATAACTTCTCTTTAATAAGGGATTGTCTAATTCAGCTAATTGCTAGAGGTGAAATACAGCTAATGCTTCTTTTAAACAAGATCTGCCAGTGTCTAGTAGTTGCCTCTATTTGTGAGGAGGGTATTACACAAGTAAATTTTGTACTAGAGTGGCTTTTAATATTGAGGTACATGCTCTTTTAAATTATTTACCCTTTGGAAATGAACAAAGAGTTAGTGTAAATTATTACACCAAACACTCACCTTCTCTGATGCAATGGATTGAGGATCTTGCAATGCTTTCAGTTTTGATATTACTGACATAGAGATGCCAACTTCCAATGGATACTTATTTAGGTATATGGTCTGCTTTTCTTGAAGCCTATGTATAAATTTTAGAAATTTATACTAAAGAAATTTTTTTAGTATAAATTTCATGCAGATCCATGCATCTGTATTAAAAGGGGGAGTTTAAAAAACTGTTAGGTGCCTTCAGACACAATCATTGCATAACTGATTTTGCATGCTTCATGCTGGTCTGAAGCAGCTGTTAAATTGGTTCTTGGTGAATGTCTTTTTAAGTGAAATGGTCAAATGGAATTTTTTATATGTGTGGGGGATACAGAGGGAGGGACAGAGAGATGGAGGGAGGGAATTATTTAATGCTTTGCTAATTGCTTGAGCCTCCTATATAGAGGGAGAAGTGGGATATATTTATGTATCCTTATCCCACTTTACAGCAAAAAATGAATCCAATAAGTTTAAAAGATCAATAACAAAGCAGTCTCCATGTCAATGCAGCCTAAAACACAAAAAGGGGTTGGGAAGAAAGGGAAAGAAAAGGAATATCTAAGAACTAGTGCCTAAGTTAACTAGCTGGAATAGAGGAGTTCAGGTTTTACAAATACAGATGTGACCAGGGATGTCTGTTCCTTCTTCATTTGTATGCATATGCCTTCCTTCATGCTTGACTGAAGTCCTTTCCTTTCAGAAGCTCTCTTCATATTAGAGAGTGGACACCAGGATATCAAATTGCAAATGTGTTGGTATTGATGAATCTGGGTAAAATGAATTAACATATCTGAGATTTCGAGACAGGAAACTGTAATTACCAGTGCTGTTAGAGTATCAGAATATTCATGGGGAGATTATTCCTGCACAGGTCAAAAGCATGATCAGAAAGCAAGCCAGGGCTTCAGCAATCAGCATAATATGCCTAGAGTTTGACTATTGCTCACATTCCAACAGAAAGAATCCCAAGACCCTTTTAGAACAAACATTCCAGAACTTTTAGTGATTAAAGTCTTTTCAAAGATTTCTTAAAAGTCTACATGAAACTTCCTGCCATACCCAAGGCAACTTTTTCAAGGTGGCTTCTATGGGGATCTCAGCATGGAATTATGGCTGAGCTGGTATGTGTTTGTACCCATCCACAATGCATCATGGCCCTAAGCCAGTCTCTTGCACACATCACTTGAATAGCTGATAATCAGGATTCTGTATTTGGTTGTGCAGTTTGTGTCTTTTTAGACTTCATCTGAGCATGTCAGTTGCATGCATGGTTCACCATCCAGATGTGTGTGTGGAAATCTGCTTCCCACGAGCACACAGCCCCTAGCTGGTACTGGACACCTGGTTTTTGTTGTGTCAAACTGGGAAGCTTCACAGAAGTGTGAACACTTGAGTAAATGATCTAGTAAGTAGGAAAATATTTTCTGGAGTTGGAGAAATCTGTTCTCTCCTGCAGAGGAAGGCAGGACGCGTTCCAATGGAGCAAAGCTCAGGGAACCAGGGTTCCATTTGGATGCCAGGAAGCACTTCCTGACAGTTAGGACCCCGAGGGTGTGGAATGGGTTTCCACGAGAGGTCGTTGAGGCCCCATTGGTGTGGGTGTTCAAAGATAGGCTGGACATGCACATGGTGGGCATGTCGTGAGCAGAGCCGGCCGGTGCCAGAGGTCAGATTAGATGGCCCAGGAGGCCCCTTCTGACTCGCTCTGTTTCTATGTATCTGAGAATACAACATGCAAGCAAACAATTTTCCTAAAATCATTTATCCTTGCATTCTGGCATTAATTTGGGAAGCTTCATAGATGTTTGATCCCTTATATAAATAGTCGATTAACAAGGAAACAAAGGTTTATAGAGATGTATCTACAAATATAACAGTCAAGCACACAATTTTCCTAAAATTGCTTATCCTTGCATTCTAACAGTAAATTGTCAATCTGTGAAAACCCTTTTGAAACTTGACTTCAGCATCTTTATGGCTCTGAGTTTGGAGAATCATCTTTTTAAAAGTATATTGTTGTGTAATGCAGTCTGCTTCATTTGGTGAGAATTACTCAAGACTCCTTGTTTGTTTTGCCCAGGATTAACCACTGAAGTAGTCCTCCAAACAAACAACCTCAAAGTGACAGCTGAGTGTGCCTCTGGGCTTGATAATGTAAGTATGCCACAGCATGAATATTTTATGGCTACAACTAAATGTAGGAATTGTGAGCCAATATAAACTGGTGTACTTTGTGTCAGAGTCCTGACAAGTGAAGCAATTACTCCAATCACATAATTGGAATATACATCTTCTGTGGGTTCTGTTAATGTACTAGAGCCCTGGGAAATCTGTTGCAAAATGTTTTTGCAACAGGTGTTTAAGAATATGTCAGGTGTTTAAGAATATGCTAACTTTATTTACAGACAGAATGTGTAGGTCTGAGGGAATTGTAGTTGGGTATTCCCTATATATAGATATCCCACCCCCACCTCCCAATAAGGGCAAAACAACATGCACCTCCACCTCTGGCTTAGTGATTATTTATTCTAGGGAAGGCACCAAGGTAGAACTTTATATTCCTTGGAAACCTAGCACATCCCCAGGGATGCTAACCTCATATCTAAGCATTTATCAGATCCAACCCTCTGCATCAACAAGTTTTTTCTGCATTTAAGTCCTGCTTAAGACTTACTTATCAAGACCCTTAAAACTTCATAGAAGATTCCACATCTTACTCAGCCACCTATCCCAGTGCCCAGCTCTAGGCCTAGGGAACAACCCCTGTAGATGACCCCTGACATTTGTGCTGCTATGCACATTTGCACAAAAGGCAGCTCACTATCTCAAGTGCTCTCTGAATGCTCCATGCCAGTACATGACATGGAGCCACATTAATTTAAGAAACATCATGCCAAGGAACTTCCGATAATCAATGAACACCGCTACTACCAATAAGAAGCACAAAGATTATACATGCCCATACAACAAAAGTATACTAACCTAGTGGGACAGGCCACTCATCCTTCCATTTGTGTCTGTTCTCTGGCAGTGGGCCGTACACCCCATATGACCTGGGACAACCTTTCCTAGCTTGAGCTTCAGTCATGTTTTTCATTATTTCCCTTCTACCTCAGAAACCTGTTAGAGATGTGGAAGAACGCCAGAAGAAACTCTTGTCACCTGATGCTGAGAACAGCTTAGCCAAAATAGTGGCAGAAGTAAGTAGTTATGGCTGCAGCTCTTTGAATCAGTTAGGCTGATGCAACTATTCATCTTGAATTGTGTGGATCATTTAAAGACTCTTCTTGTTCAGCATGGTGTAGTTCACCAGTCCTTTTGGGGTGGTGAACACATGTGGAATTTTTAATAGCTGCCAGTGGAGAGGCTTGACAAGTTCCAACAACATTAATTTCTCAAAAGACAAACAGGTGAGAATAAAAGGAAAGTAAATGCCCCCAAAACCTAATGCAGGACAGAGTGGAAGTCTGAGCTCCAAACACAAAACTTCTCTTTTGCACTCAAGGTAGTGCTGGAGGGCAGCACTTTGCTTGCTTTGTACCAGCCTACTGGTTAAAAACAAATCTTAAGAAATTAAAAAAAAACAGGAAAAGCAGAGAATCTGGAGGGAACCATGAGAGATGTTCAGTGGCAGCAGGTTAGAAATCCAAGTATATTGTAGTCCCTTCTGTTGGAATAACTACTTTCTGTGGCTGCCTCATTGCACCAAGGAAATGCCAGAGGGATTTTCCTCTCTGGATGGGTGGAACAGAAAGGCATTCCCTCTCTTCCCTTTTGCTTCCTCTGTCTATGGTGATGATGATTTTCTGCTATAATTTTTTAAGGTAATAGGCTTTATGGCACTTCATTCATCAGTATGGGTTGTTTGTAACCCAGGCATGCATAACTCAGGGTGTGCCTGTATGAATATGCTCCTAGATTTAAATGTAAATGGAAACAATTGAATGATAAGCAAATGGGCATTTTAGATTGGCCAGTACTTTGTTTTTGTCTGAATGTTAAGGAAATCATTATGAAATACCATTTGAATCTGACCCTATCATGATTATATAAAATCTGTAAAAATATAAATGATCAGTGCTACAGATATTTGCAGTGGGGTATTAATTTGCATCTTGAGTTTATAAGATTAGGGTATGGAATAACTGTTAGGTTATTTTAAAGAAAACAGAAGTAGGAATAACCTGAATCTTAGCAGTGGCCTAACCCTAACCTTAACTCTAACTCTTATAGTCTCTAAATGGTGGAACAGTGCAGCATCTCCAATAAAACAATGATTTCATAAAATATATTGTGTTGCTGCAGTCATGTAAGTAACCAAATAGATGTATTTGAGAAATTGGTGGAAGAAAACTTTTGTAAGAACTGAGTGCCATTTATTAATTTCATAACAGAAGGATTAAATCTTAACATTATTATAGTTTAGTTTAATAAAATTACAGTGAGAAATAAGAATAGTTACTTATGACTAACTTAAATCATACTTAAATAATTAAACTTAAATCATTTCAGTGTTCCCTGTACATTTTTCTTCCTTCTATTTGGGATTATGTGTTCCAATTTTCCTAAATGGGGCTGAATCACATATATTCAGGTATGTGTGCAAAATAACTTTAATGTAAACTGAGAAGCAGGAATGACTGAGGTATTCAGTGGTATTGTGACACAGGGTTGTTAATGGAAAAAGCCTTCCAAAATAAATAAGAATAAGCAGAAAAAACCACCATGATATTGTTGCTGTGTAGATTATATAAAATCTGCTTAAATAAAAGAAGTAGGTGAAATACTTAAGGACAGGCAAGGCAATACTCCAAGATGCTGAATTAGAAAAATGGGGGTGAGATTAGGTTCTCTCTCTCTCTCTCCTGCCCTTCCCTGCCCTCTCTCCATACATGCACATACTGTGTGTACTAGATTGAGCTTCATTGGGAAGCATGAATGAAAGTGAGCAGAAGCATAGAGTTTGTTTGAAAATGAGTTAATGTGGAGGCATCCAGCGTTACTCTTTTTTAAACTAGCAGGATGCACTAGTGAAGTGACTGTTGATAAAGGGCATGTTGCAAGCAGTTTGCTTTTTTTTACGCAGGCTGAAAAGTGCCAATTAATGTGGTTGTGTACCCCACATTCCTGAACTTTTATCCGAGATGACAGGATAAACTTTGCCATTAGTTTTTCATGTGTTCATCCTTTTCCTCCCTGCCCATGCTTGTTTAATGATGTCATCTTGTCTATTGACAGTTACAGGAAATCCTCCCGGAGGGTAAAGTAGCACTGCAGCGGTCTCCAGGAGTAAGGCGGAAAGCTGGCGGAAGTCCTGAAAATAATTACAGAAAAAAGGTACCTTAGTGATAAGTCGCAATGTACTTAGAGATTTTAAATCTTAGATACTAAAGACGCTACTTGTAAAAGTTGAGTAGAGCAAAACCAAAAAGAGAAGCTCACTTATAAACAGCACACAGCTATAATGTATCATTCTGTTTGTTTTTCCTCCTCTTTGTCCTACAGCTGCAACCTGTTACATCTTTGCTAGATCAAAGTTGTTTAACATTTGATGTCTGCCCTACATGCTATAGGGACTGGCAAGCTATCATTAATTCACTTCTGTTCATGGATAATGTAAAAGTTTACTTGGTTTTGAAAATCTGAACTGCTTTTTTAATCTATAAGAATGATGTAGTCAAGAAGGTATTATGAGCTATTGGGATATATCCAAATTATTTTGTAGAATACTGGCCTTCTCTAAGATGGTGGAGAATTAGTTTGCGGGGCTGGATATTTGCCCACCTCAGTTCTTTGTGGGCTGAATCACATCAGCATAGGATGTTAAACCAGTTGAGTTCAATCCCTCAGGAAGATAGGGAGGATAAAACATTATGTCTTGACACCAAGTAATATTCCAGATGCTAATATATTTTTAAATAGAATAGACTTCAGACAGCTAACCTTTTTAGTTGCACTCTTGAGTTGCTGTAAATATTTCACAGGCTGTTTTATCTGAACTCTTGCTTTCTCTTGGATAAAGGAATCATAGTATAGTTGAAGGCTTTATTGGTATAAGACCATTCAGGTTATGATGCATCAGATGGCTTTGATGAAGGCTTTTGTTTTGTTCATCATAAAACTATTTTTTAAGGAGATATTTCTCAGTACTGCTGTTAGTTGCTTGTTAGGCTGAGCTAACATTGGTTCTTAAACAGAGCACACATTTCCAATGGGCTTTGTGGTCATGGGTTAAAGTTACCACTCATTCTGTCTTTAAGAACCACATGGTGATGTATTAATTCCAATCTCAGCCCCTCAGGAGGATGAATATCAGAACCATATCCTATTCCAGCAGTTACATCTAAAGAAATGTTGCCTATTATTTCATGTTTTCCATTTAACATCTGGCAGGAAGTATCCAATAGCTTTTATATTTCTTTTATCCTTTGGAGGACAGAGCCTTGGAAACCTAAGGGGCCATCATAATAATAACAGTATTAACAACAATGATAATAACAGCAATAACCAACAGTCTGTTTAAGGATGGACAGATCAAACATTTTTATAAAGGTGCAGCTGCAAGCATATGGGTGGTGCTGTTCAATAATATTAGTTATATCCCCCAAAACACAACTAGCTCTCTAAGCAAAGGTAAAATTTATTCATGATAAACATTTATATACCACTGTATTTGCTAAAATGTCATCAAAGCTACACACTGAAATTTAAAGCAATAAAAATGAAACAGTAAAACTTTAGTACACTAAAACAATGATATAATTTAAAAGCTTAGGTTTAAAAAAGTATCTTCACGTCCTTTTTAAAAGCCAAGAGAGTGGAAAAACCAAAGTTTTTAAAGATATGCATCACTCCTAGGATGCTTGAGGGAGGCTTTTCAGCCACATCTGACAAATGGGCCTCTCCAGATACTGATGTTCTCAAAAGGGCCTCTCCTGTGGATCTTAATACCCAGGCATGTTAGTAATGAGACAGAAGATCCTTAGCTAAGTTCTTGGATGGTTAAAGCTTTAAAGGTTAACACCAATGCCTTGAATTGAGAGCAATTTGCAGCCAGTGAGCATCTGTCAAGAGAGGAATAATATGGTCCCTATACCATGCACTGGTTAGCAGCCTAGTTGCTGCATTTTATACCAATTGAAGCTTATGGATGCTCTTCAAAGGTGTATTGCAATAGTCTCATGGTGTGACCAATGCATGGTTGCCAAATTAAATTAACTCTGGAAGGAATGCAATTGGTGCATCAGGTATAACTGTGCAAATGCAGTCCTTGCAAACAGGAACACGAGTTCTCCAAAAGTATTCACAAATGATCAAGCGTGTGTTTATATTTGGAAAATATGCAAATTCTTATTGAACAAGCAGCTTGGAATTGTGCAATTTTGGAATTGCAGGATTCTTTGCTTTAGTCTGTGGAGGGAAGTTGTACAACTTTGGAAAATATGCATATCTGGGGGCAATTTTGCCTTTATCAGTCACTTTATGTAATTTGTCCATGTGTACAAATTGAAAACAAATGACTGAAGTAATACTGCAAGAAGAAAATCAAGCTGATGGTTGGAGAATCCAGGTGAATGGGAATGTCACTTGTTCACCCATCCCCATTCTGATATTCTATCATAAGCCCTGAGGACCTAAGAAAATAGGTGTTTAAAATCTTATGTTGTATCTTTTAATTCCTTTTTGTAAGCCATAGAAGGTCTTTTTTGGTTTAAGACACAGAGAGAAATACATTCAGGGAACATTTAATAGGCAGTTAGCCTAACTTTGATTTCCTTTGTCGCCAATCTGCAATCTTTGTGGAGCACTTCTTTATATCACATTTTGCCTGTTCATAATTAGTGAATTTGACCAAAGGAAGGCTTAGCTCCTTCAGCTATACTGCTGATCCTGAAATGCAATTTACATTTTGTCTCCTTTATTCACGTTGGAGCCACAAGATTCTGAAGGAGCCGGAGTTTCCAGTCTGGGTGGCTTTAAAAGGGGATTGGACAGATTCATGAAGGAGGAGGCTATCAGTGGCTGCTAGCCTTGAAAGCTATCTGCTTTACCAGATGCCTGCATTATACCATTTCTCAGGAACTTGGGCAAATGGAGGCCTTATATCCATCCTGCTTGAGTAATGCTGTGTGCAAATGGTTTGCCACTATGTATGTGGAATGTTGGACTAGATGGGCTTTTGGCCTGATCCAGCATGGCTTTTCTTATGTTCTTTCAGGTATGTAATTCTTCTGTAGCCATGACTTTTGTTTTCTCAGCTGCAGTCCTGCTTTCCCACTTGCTTCTTTCACTTTCATCAGGAGTTGTTTTGATTCTCTGCTGCTCTCTGCCAGTAGTTATGATAACATCTGTGCATCTTAATTTAGTGATGTGCAATCTGTCAATTTTCAGTCTTTCCTCTGATTCTAATCTAGCTTTCCCTATGATATGTTCCACATACATATTGAGCAGATAGAGAGATAAAATATATCCTTGTCTGACACCTTTGTGAATGGGAAATCATTCTGCTTTTCTACATGCTGGCCTAACCATAGCTTCTTGTCCACAATACAGATTATGTATTGAGTACAAATTTCTGATTAAAAACCCTGTTTCTGTCAATGAGCAGATGACAAAATGAAGGACACCTGTCAATCCTCAAAACACAGATTAAAAACCCATATATCCCTAGTTCATCATGGATTAAACAACCTTGAGTTAACCCACAGTTTGTTCTTAGGGTTATTTAACACAGAAACAAACCCAGATGCAGATGTCACAGGAATGCTTCTGTTACATCCAAACAGCCTCATTTCAAAGTAAGCTGACATATCTGGCATTACATCACAGGAGACTGCTATTAACAGGAACATACTTTTCTTATTTTTCTGAAGTTCTGATTAGCAATGGGAAGGAGATGTGGCAGTGTTGCCTGTGTTAAAGGAATTGCTTTAATAACTGCACAAACCTTATTGCAAGACACCCTCACACCATACTGTCTGAAATAGCCTTTTACTATACTTATTTGGCTATCTGCCTTCACTAGAAGATTTGGCCATGCCACCATAAGGCAGTAGCTGCTTTAATTGCATGAATAAAAAGTCCTAGTCATAATGACACAAAGGATGCACATGAAATCTTGCCTTGTCATAACACTTTTTCCTTTTCATAGAGAAGTGGTGCACCTCCTATAGACTACGGGTACCCTGATGCTAACAGTGTAGGACAAAGGTAAAGCTCTTCAAAATTACCTAAAGAAGCCTGGCAAACAAGATCTGTAGATCAGTTGGGCATTTTGTTCACTTGGAAGGAAGCTGAAAAGGTTCTATCATGGCTTTCCATACGTTGGGAAGTAACTGCTTTGAGTGGACCAAATTTATGAACATTGCTAGCTGGAGGAGAAACTGACTTGTTAGACAGTGATAGTGAATTGGAAGGAATAAAAATGTATGAAAACATTTCTGTGAATGGAAATCAACCATGATTGATTGTGATATCTGCAAATGAAATAATGTGAGGCTAGGAAACAAGGCATTCCACAAGCCCTGATGGAACTCACCCCATGGAGGCTGTTCCTCCCTCAACTGTCAACACCAACAGCCAGTCCAGCAGACTGTAATGAGGAAATGGATAGCAGAGAGCAGAGTCATTCTATCAACTCCACTGAAAAGCTCCATTTCCACCTGCCCCTTTGCCTCCTTTTTCTTTGTATTTCCTGTCTTTTAAATTGCAGGTTTGGGACAGGGACACTCCTTTTTTATTATTTGGGAGCCCTGTATTAAATTAAAAGAATAATATGATTGTGAAGAAAAGCTAAGAGAAGTAAGTGACTTTATAAAGTATTAAAGATTGAATAGGCTAAGTGGAACTGGAGGAACGATTGTCTTTTCAGAAAAAGACAAGCATCAATAGGTTTCCGATGGAGGGAGTCTTCATTATGCTAGCAGTTCAGCAACTGGTCTGTCTAACAAGGCTGTTGTTAAATAGTAGGCCTGCCCTGAAAGGTTTCCCAGAAAAGCTAGGTCAGAAAACTGTCAGCAGTGTGTTAACCGTCCACTTCCTTTTCTGGTCCCAGACTACAGGAGTTCTGCAAGCACTTCATGTATTTTATGCAGCTAATAAGTGCATGTTGAAATTCTATACATATGTTATTCCAGTTACTTAATACTGCCTGTGTCTGGTATAAAGTACACTTCATTTACAACTGCTGCTAGGCAGGGTTGAAAATATCAGTATTCCTTTCACAAAAATGTTTATTTTTAATTTGCAACAATTGAAGTCTTGTAACACACTTGCTTTCTGCCTCTCTATCTACCACCCCCAGTGTTTTACCCAGTATGCTGCTGGTCCATTTGGAGACTATATGCCTAAACTTAGTAAATGTTTCTCTGCTGGTAAAAAAAAGATTCTCAATATATTATGTCTTGTCTTTCTAGTACTCGAAGAAGAACGGTAAGAGAGGATCCTCCACCGAAGCAAGGTCCTGACACCAAATGCATGGCGGTGCCCGTGTATCCAAGGGTAGATCGTATACCAATGCGTGTAAAGATTGCTGTGTTTGCTATTTTCATTTTCCTTCTCCTTGTGTATGTAACTATGGAAACGAATCTAGAGAATCCATTCACAACCTTCATCATGCACAAATAAGGGTATCCCATCCTATAGAGATGGAACTGCAAGACCAAAGAAACTGGCTTTGTCTATCTGCTTATGTGTAAGTGTTTTGGTTAGCTAATAAAGCAGCCCAAAAAAAACCCCAGTATGTTTATTCTCTTTCCTTGGAATTGTTATGTACTTAAGTCTTTCTGTCCTTAAATATCTGGCAACATCTCCCTTCTTTACAGTTTCTCTCTTTGTTGTGGAAACCATAGATGGGTATTTTCTCAGCAGGTTTAATGAAAATTCAGCCTGACTGTTGCTCCTTTCTTAACGGTAGAGGAGTGGAATCACTCCGCTTTTTTTTTGCCCAGGATACAAATTCCATTCTGGGAACAGTCTTGGGGGCTGCACTGCAGTGGTTTATGGGGCTAACAAGCATGGGATATGGTAAAAAACAAAGAAAGCCAGGGACAAATAAAATGTAGGCAGGGACAAATAAAATTCATATCAGCTTGGATGTTTTCATAGCAAGCATACAAAATGTAGTTCAGTTCTAAGCAAGTCTACTTAGTCTTCTACTACTTACCCCAGTGCAACAGATCTCTTGCCTGAGGTCAGCACATCTCAGTTCTCTGCAGGGTATTTGAAGGTTAATCGCCTTGACATACATCTCAGAGAGCTGCATTTGACCTATGAGAAGTTCCTCATCCATATTATAGAGGGTATAGGTTTCGCTAAGCAAATTCCCTCACCCCTCAGTAATGGTTATGAGATGAAAAGCTCTCTCTGTCCAGAAATGCTTGAGTAAGTCTGATTAGCCAGACAGTGAAAACTCAGAAAAAAAATTAATAGAGCTAGGCCAGGAATTCTGCTCCATAGAAGTGTAGAGGAGCTTAAGCTGTGAAGTGGCTCCCAGTAGGTGCCAAACAGATCCCAGCCATCCAAATATGCAACTACCACTGTGCTGGAGAGCTTAGGTCATGCCTGCATGTGCCATCACTGCTGAGCACTTTGCCTCTGAGGAGTTCTTCCTGTGCTTCATGGGACGAAGCTGCAGACTGCTCCCAGCCAGACCCGGAGGAGCAGGCTGCTAGATTGTCCTGAAACTTCTGCTGCTTGAGGGAAGCCGTCTAACTGTGTTAAAATGAATGGGCACAGCCATAGCTCATCCAGCTTAAAATAGTTGTTTTGTCCCCTTCTCTCCTTCTGATTGGTATTCTGACATTTGAATTGTAAGAGTATAATTACAGCTGATGCTTTAAAAACAAAACTGTCAACACCAGTGCTAATGACTACACTTTCTTGTGTCTAATTTTGAAATACATGCAAATCATGTTCATAGCTACCTGTTATCTTTAAAACCTTGGACTAAGCTTTTCACAATTCCTCATGGCTTTCTATATTTTGAAGCATAAAAAGAACCATATTATAAAGTTCAACTCCTCTTGTACTTACTTTAATTGGTACCAAGAAATTGAAGTACTGTGTTTCAGCTGTTTTAAGTTTTGAATAGCATATAGCAGGTCTCAAATGGTGAACGCTCAGAATTTGCTTTCTGATAAATGTTGTATTTTGCATTACCTGTGGATGTCAAGTTTCAACCACCTGCAAAAAGTGCTTTATTACACTTCTCCCATCCCTCTAAATTGCACAACTTAAATTTTACCCTGTGGTAATGAGGGGGCACAAGCAGCAATCTAGCTGTCATTCATCTCCTCCAATGAATGTTTCCTGTGATTACCTTTTGATGTATGATTTAGTAAGAAGACTGAGAGATGGTTTTATATCTCCTAGAATACCTGCAGGAATTATATTGTACAATTACCCTATAATAATGTGCAGAAAGCTTACAGTAAAGAAGGGTGACCACTGTCCCTCAAATCTGTTGTCATCATTGGTATATGAATGTATGAATGTAAACTCTTAAACCAATGCCTAGGCTTTAGTCCTAGAATAATGAAAGTATGTGTGTTGTCTCTAATAGAAACAATAACTTCCCTTCCCCAAAGGAGTTAATACTACCTGTTCACCTGGCAAAAGTAAATTATCAAAGTAAATGACATATACTATTGGTAGCATGTGTGATACACAGCAAGTAGAATACAATGGGAAACTTACGCCCCTGCCAATTTTCTTACATCTCCACTGCTTGTGCACAGGCAATTTAACACTTCTGGGGCAATAAAAATGGGCATGAATGCTCATTTTTGGAAAGAAGTAAGTTGGCAGTGCTTGCAAAAGGGAGTTTTGTCAACCTCCCTTCTTCCATGTCTCTCTTCCTTTTAGGGCTTCCTGCTAAATCTCCTTGCTTAAGTGGTGAGTCCTACTTGTGCAACCAAACTGACAGGACCCACTCCTTGCTGAAGGAAATCGATGGGAAAGAAATGAACTGCTGGGGGTACAAGAACCCCATTGGATTAAGCCCAAAGATTTAATCAATATGAAAATCATTTGAGCAAAAAAGTTATAGCAGTACCTATCATACAGGGAATCCTAGAGATCTTAGCAAACAAAGCTGTCAGTCATGTAAAAAGACAATTCTGTTTCCTTTGCTGTGCTAGCTTATGTGTGAGTGAGTGAAATGAAAACTTAAAATGCACCCTCTTTTCTACTTGCTTAGATAGCCTTC